AACGGTTCAAATAAAGGCTTAGTTCATACTACGTTCAGTCGTTTTGTGTAATCGGATCTCGAGGAAAGTGGTGCCTTCAGAACAATGAGAGATTAGCTGTACTCACGATTCAGCAAGAATCTTCAGTTTGTGGTTGAGTTTAGGTAAGCAGTTTTCATAACTTCATACTAATACTAATATTAATTTCCGTATTACAGAAAGCGATAAAACCGAATGGATGTCGTTGTTGGAAGGCTACATCCTGTAATGAACAAAAGGCGCAAGAAAGAAAAACACGGAAGAAGGAAAAAAGAGAGAAAGAGAGAAAAAAGAGTTATGATATTTATAATGTCAGAAATCACAACATGTTAGTATTTCTGTTAGCAGATTTCAATTGCGTGATTTTCAAAGTATGACGTCGTGATGATGTTGAATGTTCCCTTGTTCCTTTTGTCATGTTTATTATAATTCTACGAGACAAAAGATTCTGGGGACTATTCATTTCCGTATCTCGCAGACAAACAACGGTTTGTGAGATAGTATAACAATCTACTTTCTCAGAAATAAAAGCTAATCAATACGACTCCTCAGAAGCCATGAATAGAAACGTCATTGAATAGGATAAATCGCCGTAGTAACACACACACATCACATATCTTTAATACAGTTTCACATGTTCGAAAATTCGGCCAATCCCCCAAGCCGTAAAGCTTTCTTTATTATTCACATACACCTGACTTGATTTCTAAAAGCTCCCCTGCCCCCTTCGGAATCACGCCCCCCCCCCCCCACCCCCAAACCACATATCAGTCTCTCTCTCTCTCTCTCTCTCTCTCTCTCTCTCTCTCTCTCTCTCTCTCTCTCTCTCTCTCTCTCTCTCTCTCTCTCTCTCTCTCTCTCTCTCTCTCTCTCTCTCCTCCGTTCATATTATAGCTTAATTAATTATCCTTTATTCTGAGTCGAGCTTTCCCTATTGTATCGTGTTTAAAAGCAAATACTCCTCTCCTTTGATCATCTGTTATAGAAGCAGGGTAGCACAATGCTGTGTGCAGTTGTTCTCTATGACAGAGTGATATAAATATATTCCATGAGCACTGTTATCATCTGAAATAATAACAGGCTTCTCACCAAACCGTGATAATTAAACGTATCAGATTGCAAGAACACCTGACCTTTTTCAACCCGACATCCAGAATAATAGGCAGTCATTTGCTTCATAAACGAGAGACGTGAGCTGTATTCCCACGTCTGGAAGTTTACTTTTATCGAACATCTTTTTGTTGATGCTGGGATATCTTATTTCACTCAACTCTGCCTAGTCGGCCCTCACAGGTAGTCCATAGCAGCTTCCCGCCTAATGAGCTCAACTCTGAAGACCTGGGAGTGAAACATTTTCTGTCACTCCATAAAATGTCAGACTACGCTTGATTTATATTTGATGTCCCTCAACACACAGCATGTAAGGCGTTGCAAGTGTAGTGTCCAGCGGTGTGGCTCAGACTAAAACATTGCAGGCATTTCCGATACAATACAGACATTTTCACTTTTTGATGTCATTAAATTGGCCATCTGTGCGCAAAACGCCGGACTTTAACCATTTCACGGAACGCATCGGTCAGTTTTCTTGTTCTTGCCAAGTATCTTAAAATCACTTTCATCTTACCCACTCAAGTATGTTCTCAATACGACAAATTACAGTCTGGGTTGACTCTACTTTAAACGTTACAAGTCTCTTTCTTTAGAGAATGAGCCTTTTGGTTTAATACCCATCTTTGACACTAATCACTCTAGGAAGTGGATAGACATAACCCCCCCCCCCCCCCCAAATGATGAAAGAACAAAATTTCTGAATGGGTGAAATCGAATTCAGATGGCACATATAATAGTACTGTTTGACACTAACTGGCCTCTAATATTCCTCTGAATGAGCCACGACTTTCAGAAATGAGTTTAGTTTTTTAAAAGCAGATGAACAATAAGATGTAATTGTTTGGTATATTTTTTATAATCACCAGCCCAAGTTTGAAAAGACCTTAAAGCATAGTTATAAAAGTAAGTAGGCAATGTCATTAACAGAGACCATACCACATACCAGTTGTCCAGTCAGCTACGGCATGATGATACACGCTCGTTTAATGCTTCGTGATTTTAGAGGATAACACAAATAGTGCGAATAATTCAAAAGTAGTAATGCAAATGCGAATTAAATTTAATTTCTAGGTCAGTATAGTACTACAATGTAGAGAGCAAGCTGTTGCAAATCTTCAGGCCAACATTTTGGGGAAAGCTATCTTTGAAGCATTTACCTATTTGAGGACGAAGTTGAATCATAACTAAGCAACAGACCAAAGGCGATGTTGCCGCTCATTTCGAGTCATCGCCCACCAACTAAATTCGTAAATGTGCGTATCTCGTAAGCATCTTGTTGTCTGCCTTTGTAAGTTTCTGATAAAGGAAACAGGCTTGAGAAATCTGTATAAATAAAGATATTATGCTTCTTATTTAGAGGCTGACAAAAAGAACGTGCCCTATGTAAAATATAACATTTATGCTTAAATCTCGTGAAATTGAGTGAACGTCCAGCTTGTTTGGCTTATCCTTTTCAATTTAATATTCAGGAATTTTGGACATTATTTCCGATCTCTTACTAAGTACAAAGTTATGACAGGTTAGTGGCTATACTCGAAGGAAAACGTTTTCAATGTAAGAGTTCGAGAGCTAACTTACACCAAAGTGCACGAACACTAATATGGATCTTTACGAGCAGACGTTATGCTGTACGGTTCACAACAACAATGAAAAAAAGAAAACATTATATTTCAATAGTAACCTGAAGTGTCCATGTCCCACGCTCAACTGACTACACCATCAATAATCTTTAAATAGAGGCATTACAAATTCAGGTCTAAATACTGTTTTACATTGATTCTTAACTCGTACACCAGCAAAAGACCGATACTTGTGTTCTTACATTTAGAATGACTACGCGTTGTTTATGCTACACTTATAATAATAGAAAATATATAGCATTTGTATAGCGCAAGTGCCCACTCAACAGCAAGCTCTATACGCTTCACAATGTATATTATTACCCCAGCTAACCTGAGAGCATTTTAAAACAACCTCAACTTCCTGGGAAGCATACAGCGCAAGAAGCCATTTATAGGTGCTAAAAAACTAACATAATGACAAAATCTTTCGCTGTCTATGGCCGAGTATCCTTTCTCACCTTTGAAGAGAGGAAAATTCGTGTAAAGTGCCTTTCACAAGGACACAACTTCGGGCCTGCGGCTCGAACCCCCGAAACAGCAACCTCGTGATTTACGAATCATTTCAATCCGTATACACATACACACACCCAAGCAAACACACACTCACACACACACACACACACACACACACACACACAGAGAGAGAGAGAGAGAGAGAGAGAGAGAGAGAGAGAGAGAGAGAGCGAGACAGACAGACAGACAGACAGACAGACAGACAGACAGACAGACAGACAGACAGACAGGCACACCCACACACACACACACACGCGGACACACATGTTGCTTTTTTTCGTTTTAGTAAGTGGTTTACAGCACTTGCAACACAATACGGTCATATAACATACACACAAACACACACACACACACACACACACACACACACACACACACACACACACACACACACACACACTCACACACACACACACACACACACACACACACACACACACACACACACGAATCATATATTCATACACCTTATCCCATTCCCAGCCTTTTCAAATTGTTCATGTCGAAGCATAGTTGGAATACCAAAAACAAACAAACGAAAAACAAATACAAAGACACGTTTTAATTCAAATCTTAGATTATCATTTTCATTCTCCGCTTAACAAATGCGTATTTATCATGGTGGCTGTTCTTGCTTGGTAACTTCCACGTTCTGGACTACGTCATATTAAATCACACTAATTATGACTTTTAATTTGCAAATCAGAAATGTTATTACCAAGGACAATGGATATTTGATACAAACATTTTTGATAACCATTTTGATCTATTTTTTAAATTATTTTTTTTTTGTAATTAGCATGGCGTGATGGTTTTTTCCATGACAAGAGGCGATCTTTATGCCTTGTGCATGACTGAAGCTCTTTCAGAAAACAACAATTGCAAAATGAAATGGTTTTTCTTTATGTGTTTCTGTTTATAGAAGCTCATTTATAATTTCTTATGCCCGGCAGCATGATATTCTCGTGTTCCTACCGGCGTCAGTTATTTATTGACTGTTGCACGCTGTAGACGTGAGTTCGATTCCCAAATGGGGTATTTATAATATAATATAGTGTACTCGGGTTCGTTGGTCTGTGTGATGAAGCAACGTATCCCACTACTCTACTAGATTTGGCACTGGCAGACAGAGTCGAATACCTCGGTTTTCAAATCATCATAATAACTATATGGAGCTTTTTAACGTATATGTATGTATATGGTTGTGTGTGTGTGCGCGCGCGCGCGCGTGTGTGTGTGTGTGTGTGTGTGTGTGTGTGTGTGTGTGTGTGTGTGTGTGTGTGTGTGTGACACATACACACACACACACACACACACACACACACACACACACACACGCACACACACACATATATATATATATTTATAACATTATATATATATATATATATAAATATAAATATATACATATTTATGTATATAATATGTAATATATATTAGTGGGGTGCATTTACAATAATTTTCAATGAATCTCTTTTTGTTTCGTCATCCTAGGTTTCATGTCCAAAGACTCTTTCCCCAAATCGCCAATCACATAACTCACTGAGTAGAATATTGTTCTCTAACGTGCTGGTTAAATATTATATTCCTACGATCAGCGTCAGGTGATCTGTGCAAGACAGCAATAGAAACACTCATTTGTGATCTACGTCATTAACGCCACAACGTAATCAAGAGCGTCATAAAGACCCACTGATTGGCTGCTCTCGAACGGCAGACTGAGTGCGTCATCCAATCATGTCTGATGGATCCCTGGAGAAGGCAGTATCAAAGTACCTCTGGATGGTGAGTACTCGGCGTTTCGCCCCTGCACCCAAAGCTTTCCTCCACCCACATGGTGAGAGAAAGAGAGAGAGAGAGAGAGAGAGAGAGAGAGAGAGAGAGAGAGAGAGAGAGAGAGAGAGACAGACAGACAGACAGACAGACAGACAGACAGACAGACAGACAGACAGACAGACAGACAGACAGACAGACAGACAGACAGACAGACAGACAGACAGAGAAAGACAGAGAGAGATAGGGACAGAGAGTCACATTTATAATTTTGTTGTGAAGTTTTATTTTGACGTTTTGTTTGTTGGGTTTTTTTTTGTTTCTGTTGTTATTGTTGTTGCTGCTACTGCTGTTGCCGTTTAGAATTTTTTTCATACTGACTTACTGCAACTGGGATCATGATCAGTTTAAAAAATCCTGACACATTCTACAGCTCATAGTAAATAAAATTATAATTATCTTGTCGGCTGACGTTGTGAGAAGTGAGAAAATTAAGAAATACAAGTCCAAAAGCTAACTTTAATTGACTTACTACAGTGTTGCTTATTGCAGAACTACAGCTCCCTGGATAATTGCCCCTCACCTTTAAAACAATTGTTTATTCTTATGTTGTGTTATTTTAGATATATTATACTTATTTTTATTTAAAGCGAATAAATTAACGTTGGAATAAATTGCAGTTCAGATCAAACGAATTTCACAACAGATCCATAACTTTAAAGGCTGACCGCAATATCCTAGTTGGAGATTACGCTGACGATATACAATCTAATACTGTTCCTTTTTCTGGCAGAATACTAATGTTTAGTTATTGTGGGTTGGACGTCCTTACACTTTTGAGCGCTAATGAGAGTAATGGATACGTCTACTTTGTTGGATTGTATGTGTGGTATTTCCATTTGTCTTTATCTCGGCGAATCTGTGTGTATACAAAAGTGAGTGTGAGCGTGCGTGCGTGTGTGCGTTTGTTTGCCTGTGTGTGTGTGTGTGTGTGTGTGTGTGTGTGTGTGTGTGTGTGTGTTTGTGTGTGTGTGTGTGTGTGTGTGTTTAAGGTTGTGTGTTTGGAGAGGCAGTGTGTGTGTACACCTTGTATGGATAATCGTGCAAGTGTACAGTTGTTTTATTGTACGTGTTTACTTGCGCAATATGTTTGACAATGACTATCTTTATTCTTCTCTCAGGGAGAAATTTGCCTTGGTCATTAACAATGGCAGTAGACGTTACAAAAGTTAGACCTAAAGGTACACTCGCGCAAACGCACAGCAAGACAAGAAACATTAGGCCTAGTAAATACATGTCTCACGTTTATGTATGTTGTACGTTTGCGCATTTTTGTGTTCTTGTTTGTCCAAAAGTGTCTATGTATGTCCATGTGGGTTTTTTGGGGTGGGGTTAAGTATGAGAGGTATACTGGAAGCATTATTAAAGTGCAAAAGTACAGACCATGAAAGAGAGAGAGAGAGAGAGAGAGAGAGAGAGAGAGAGAGAGAGAGAGAGACAGACAGACAGACAGACAGACAGACAGACAGACAGACAGACAGACAGACAGACAGACAGACAGACAGACTGAGATAGAAACAGAGACAAAGAGACAGAGATACAAACAGACAGACAGACTTATAGACAGACAAACAGACCGAGAGACAGACAGAGATGAGTGTGGGAGTGTGAGAAGGGTGGGTACGCAGGAGAAATTAAAGAAACAGACAGAAAGTGCTCATAAATAATTGTATACTCATGTCGTTGGGGGATACGGCAATCCAATAAACGAGTGGGATTGGATATGAATCTTACTCTAACAAACGTAATTTCAACAGGAAGCATTTCAATCTTTGCTAATTCAAGGTTTGACAATAGCATACGTTTTGAAATCGATAGACAAACAGCATTCACCAGTCTTTATGAGAGCCAATATTTCTTGGATGCAGTGCCGCCACAGTTCAAAGATGTATATTAATTACATTCGATAGAGACTGATTTATATAGCCTAATGTCGCTGGGTTTTTTTGTAAACGTTGTGTCGAATGAAACCAACTAATCCATTTTCTCATTCCCATCTTCTTCCTTGTTCTACATCTCCGTCTCCCCCCCCCCTCCCCCTCCTCCACGCGTCCTTCCTCCTTTTCATCATCCCCCCTCCTTCTCTATATATTGTAGGATATATAATTCTATCTGTTTTTCCCCCCCAAAAAAGAAAGAAAAAAAAATAACAATGAATAAAGACTTTTTCAAAAATATTCCCACTATCTCATTTAATTTAGACACTCCTTTGAATCAATAGAGTGGTTTGTTTTGTGGCTACGCATTACCTAAAAAAAATGTTCTTTGTAGCGACAAAAATCAAAAGCATGGCATGTATATGGAATGCCACTTAATTTTTTTGGCGAATTAGGCAATAATTTCAGACTTTGAAAACCAAATAAAAATCTGTTGGACCCATTTAAATATTCTAAACAGTTGTTCACAATACAAGAATGCGTTGAATACAGAACATAACGGAATGTCGAGTTGTACTGTGATACGTTTTACCGAGGTTAAAAAAAGAGAGATTTCTCTCACTGAAACACCACCTCCTGTTGCCCTCCTCCCCCTCTTTTTCCCATCTACCCCCATAATTTTACCACTAACGTCTGGCTGTCATTAAGATACATTCGTCTACAATATGGTAGGTCGAGTCAGTAGTAACAGTAAGTACCTAAAGCATCACACAATGCTGCGTTTTAGTTGCGCCTATAATTAAGGAGGGAGGGGCTAAAGCCTTATTTCTTCCCATACTGGGCATGTTCTTCCCCACCATTTCTTCATAACGTCAATCTTTTATTTTTCTTTACCGCCCGTTTTCTCAAAACGTGGTTTTTCTATATACTTTTTTGAATAACTCCATCATTCTTCCTCCAATCTTCATGACATTTTCACTGGATAAAGAAAATGTGTAATACTAAAATTAATTTGCTGAATTTTTTTATTTATGGAATAGATATCTGTTGGTGGTGCTTAGAGTGTGGATTTTCACGGATTTTTTTGCAAACTTAAATACTACCTCAGGAAAAAATTCATTAAAAGTTTTCTAATTCGTTTAAGAAAAATTCAACGCAAAAATTTGTAGATCTTATATTTGATAACATATAAGCAGAAAAAACAATCAATCTATTTCAATGACAAATAAGTGCGGTATTCATTACGTAAAGATGTCAATAAAATCCAATATGACCGTCGTAGTCATGGAAACGAGACTTTTTCTCAAATTTGATTGCGTATTTTAAGACTCCTTACTATGTTTGTTATAATATGTGAAGCTTTGGTAAGGTTTGCTCGACTACTAAGCGAGATAGCCTTCAAGTGTAGCCCCCCCCCCCTCCCCCATTAAGCAGACATACGCTTTATTACACTTCAAAAATTATGTCAGAATAGCTTCACGTTTTGCACCCAACAACTCGTCCGACATAGCATGCTTTCTTACTCTGTGACCTGTCGTATAGTATTGATATGCCACACATCTAGACACGTACAGTAAAAGTTACAGTTACAGACACAAATAATAATCTCTCAGTGGTATCTTCAATTTCTCCGCGCGTTCGAGGACTCACCTAAGTGAGCTTCACTTCCTTTTTGATGGAGTGGAAGCTAAAGTTGTGACATTTCTACGAAGAGAGCTATAAGTGCACGATTGCGGACGGCAAGGCTGAATCCAACAACTCCAAGTGTCAGATTATTTCACAAAAAGTGAATGTGTATTAAAACACGACCTATCTATCTAGAGAAGATAGATAGATAGATAGATAGATAGATAGATAGATAGATAGATAGATAGATAGATAGATAGATAGATAGATAGATAGATAGATAGATAGATAGATAGATAGATAGATAGATAGATATGTGTATATATAATATATATACACATATCTATCTATATATATTATATGTTATGTGTGTGCGTTCGTGCGTGTGTGTTGTGTGTGTGTGTGTGTGTGTGTGTGTGTGTGTGTGTGTGTGTGTGTGTGTGTGTGTGTGTGTGTGTGTGTGTGTGAAATGCATTGTCATTTTACCACTACTTAATTCCTCATCCCTCCTCCTTGCGAACCTCGTCCTAGTCCTAAACTGTCCTAATGTACTTAGTTTGTAACGTTCTTTCCACGGTCAACTCAGGCTTATAAGATGATCAGCTTAGTTCAGTTTACAATAAGACTCGCTAGCCCAAGGGTTATGCCTTCTGTTCTTGTGTGGACACTGAACATGGCCATCCTCATACACCAGGGGAAAACTATTTGCTTTGTGACTGACTGAGTCAATACACCTTTGACATTAAAGAGTTCTGGTTACTAAAAGAATATCGTATGTCAGTTACTTCTCGCGAGTTATGACTGAATGTAAAATGGAACTTAAAAGCACTGGGGCTGCATACGACGTGTCTGTTTGTCAGTCGATACACCATGATATACAATATTATAATGTATTTAGAAAATCAAGAACCAAAAGGTTTTTAGGTGGGGTTTTTTTTTAATTCTTTGAAATCGTCATTAAATAGACTCTAGAGCTATTTATTCTGCGGTCAAAAACTCAAGGCGCAACCTAACCTTGAATTTCTCTTTAACAGGTGCAAATGTCATTCGTACTTTGCTCAGCAGTTTGTATCAATTTGTCTTAACTTAATTATATTTTCCCACAGCAATTGAGGCTTGATTGAAATACTTTTCTTCCTAAATTTATATAAAATGCTACATAAATTTCCGTCACGCGGAAAATGGGATTGTTGACAGCACATCCCTCTTCTCACACACATTTGCATACACATATTACAGCCTATGTCACAGCTCGCCAATGACACTTTTTAGTAGCAAAACTTGTTACAAAAAATTAATTTTATAGCGAACTTACTTTTTGCACTTTAATGTGCTCAAAACAAGCGTTCAATAAAGATAGTGTCACGATTAGAAAAAAAACTGACAGACTTGCTTTTCAAAGCGATATTGTTCCAGATGTTAACCATTTCAAATCTGAAGAAATCACCC